TGTCTGTTCAATTATCTCGTTTTGACGTCGTCACGTTTTATAGCTCAAGCTCAAGCTGAAGATCAAAAGTTCAGGATCAGGAACTGAAAAACTGTTGTTATCCTCGCAATAAATCGCTTACTTCACTTATTATTGTAATCACTCTCACTGACATTATTGTCATCTATACAGATAACATTTACTTTCTTATCATCACACACATAATAATGGAGTAAGTTTTTGGATTTCAAGGTTTTTCGACATTTCATTGATTTTTAAATGATTTCACTGTTGAATGAAATCATCGTTGATCTGATTTAGATATAATGTAATTTTATCATATTACATGTGTGATAGTGGTGATTGTTGACTCCATCGTCTGATCGTTGTTCGTGAACCGATTGTTCGATTGCAAAAATGGCATTGAGAGGAATGAAAATTAAATGTTCTATTGTCAGCTTTGATTATAGCAATTGCAAAGGAACAAGAACATCAAAGATAAGACGGAGGGAAGTAGAGTTGATGTATTGTCATAGTCGAATGTGAGCTTTGAATTAGCCTTGCGTAAGCTGTCTGTTTGATATTCGATGAGATAGAAGTGCTGTAATATTGTTAATGATTAATAAGTAATACTGATAATGAATATAAAGTGAAACGACGATAGCCGTAGCGACGGCTGATGTAATGGTGTATGATGATAGCAGTAAGAGGTGGAGGTCTCCGGATGGGTGTGCTGAGACTTGTAGGTCACAGGTTCGCATCCTGAGAAACACTCGAACGAATGCTTTTAGAATTGTTGGTACCAGAATTCAGGTTATTTTTGGATGTTTTGTCATTATTTGTTGTTGGTGTGTTCTGGAATGATGCTTATTATTGTTGTCGGTCTACGTGCTTTATTAACGATAATTCTCATAAGGATATTCATAATTTCGGAAATGGATTTTAAAAGTTTTTTATAATCTTCCGAATGAAAGATCAGTCCAGAAGTTTTTTGAGTCTAGAGCTGGGGCTTGAGCCTAGGTTTGTTCAGGCATGAGCTTAGAATGGATTCTGGATCAAAGGTGGATCTAGACCTAGCGTTTGACCGAAACGTAAACATGGAGCAATTTATGTAATTTAAGGACAGAGAATGGATTCTGAATTGTAATATTTATGAAAGGTTGAAGTATAACGCAGCCACACCGACATTCCATCAATGGAGAGACGAAAAACGAAAGGTGCAATTTGATTATTATTGTTTATTATTGCAGTTGTTATTTGTTGTCGTCATTCTGATTCTACTTTAGGTGTATGGGTTAAGTTTTATGGCAGAAGATGACGCTCGTTTGTTTGTGAATGTGATGGCACAGGCAATGGCGATGTTATCATCAGCGAACAACGATTATCAGAATGGTGCATATCCTTATTGCGAACGCTCCTCTAATGTTCATGGCGGAGATTTCTGATTTGTTCGGATTTTTAAATTCTGCAATGAATGAGAGGTCATATTCAGGCTCGGAGTTAGGTCTGTCGAACGGAATATATCACGAACCACAACTGCACCATAATGCCCATAGTGCGCCATCATTCCGAGACGCGGATCAAGATAGTATTTGTTCCACTGCCACTACTGCTACACTCACTGCGAATAATTATAGGTTGATATTTAAGTTGATTTCTGGATTGATTTTCGAAATTTCAGTCATATGGTGAAGAATTTTGATGAGAAGAAATGTATTTTGTTAAGGAAGTCATCGCAATCTATTCAAAGCTCGTCATCGAGTGGAGCAGCTCTGCTATGCAGTGCTCAACGACGTGCCTCGCAAGGATCATCGACCTCATCAGGCTCATCCAACACAACAACAAATACAATCTATGCCACCACTGCTCATAACACTCCTGCTACCACATCCCACATGAACAGTCCGTCGCGAATACCTCCGGCTCCTCCACCACCCCCACCCCTCTCTCAACTAACCACTGGTGGTTCATCATCGACAAATAGTCAATATTTACCTCATCACGCTCAAACCCACTCACTGCCTAATAATACAATTAACACCAGCAATAGTAATTTGGCAAACGGAGCAATTCCCCAAGCACCTCCGTTGCCACCTGGAGGAATTGGTGCGTTTTGTTTGCTTGTTGTTATTGTTGCTGTTATCGTTCAGTTGTTGGTGATTTGTACGATGTTTCAGCAGCGATTAGTACGAACGCCCCACCAGCCCCACCACCACCCCCGCTTTCAACGTTGTCAACTTCGAAAGGAGGTGGTAATTCAATAGCTGAACAAATCAAACGGGTTCAGTTGAGAAAGACAAGTGCCCCAGCGATCAGCGCTAATGGTGCACAGCAACAGAATAGCTGTACTGCAGGTGTGATGTTTAATCATTGTTATTGTTGTTGTCTACTATCATCTTCGCCCTATTTCAGGTAGTACCCGTCGAGGAGACCTATTTTCGGAGTTGGAAGCAACACTTAATAAACGCAAAAATAACGCGGAAAATGCAGTTGATGCAAAATCAGTTGGTGCGTGTTTGTTTAAGTTTTGGTATCACAATTGGTAAAATACTAGTGATGGGCTCTGAACATAGTTTCAGTTTGATCGGAATCTCACCGAATTGACTCTCAACGTTCCCAAATTCGTTGTTGCGATTGAATTTCAAAATTCGAAGTCTGACCGAGTTCACATTTTGAGATTCCGAAATTCGGCATCTCCATTGAATTTCGAAGGTCCTCGTTTGGAATCCTATAACATTCACATTTTGGAATTCAGTATTTTAACTGAAATTCGTCGGATTTCAGCATCTTGGGTCGGTTGTCATTGTAAAATAATGTTTGTTGTTAGGTGATGGAACGAACAAAGCGTCGATGCGACATGCAGCATGGGAGAAGCCACTGGCGAGTGTGACAGCAATGAATGGAAGTAACACAGCTGCTTCTGTGCTCGATTCACCCAAAAATCATCGCAAGTATGAGTTTAGTTTGACTGCCCGAAAATGTTTTGCAAATATATTAGTTGCGTAATTGTAGTATCGGTAGGGCACCGAGCGGCTCATCGATATCGAGTCAAGATGAACAACAGCCATCCAGAAATACAGCAGTGATCACAAATGGTATTGCAACATCGAACGAGTCATTGCTCGAGAAAATCAAATTGGAAATTTTGAGTGAAATGCGAATGGAGATCGAGAAAGCAAAGTGCGAGATCATTCAAGCGTTACGTACCGAGCTGCAGCAGAAAAGGTAATATTATTTGATGACGATTTCGGTGTTTGTGTAGCATATCAATGTTATTGGAACGATTTTATTGATGCAATCGTTGGTTGTATATCGGATACTATCTGTGACTGGGACTGGCAGTTTACATCGCTTCGTTAGCTTTGCCTTACCCTGCGACGACAATTTTATGATAATAATCAATTTTGCTGATTTTATGATAACAATCTTTATCCAAATTTTTTAAACATCTAACTTGAGTTTTAAACAATCGTCACTCATATGAACTTGGTTCTAATATGCGTTAATTTCAGAATTTATTCATTTTTACACGATTTCGCCAATTTATTTTTGTCATTGTTTATGTTTTTGGTCTGTTTGGTTACAATTCAAATGTGTGTTGCTGTTATATTGCGGTAACACTGATAGTAATAATACTAATCGACGTTCGCTCTCTCACGTATGAATCTGTCATTAAGCTTATCACTACTAGTCTCTTCACTGCTTGATTATGATCCTGTTTTCTTCTGATTTGTATTATACTTTGGTTGACATTCTGTTAATATTCAAGTAGTTTTTTACACAAAGTGTATCATATGAATTTTGTAAAGAACATCTCAAAGAAAATCCACAACTGATCGGCGCGATGCTTTAACGATTTGTTCACGTTTAGTTGACGGTAAATATATCGTTTTTGTTAATATTACTGCTGATGTATGTTTCAAGCGAACTGATAGTTATCATTGTTTATTGCATTATTAAATATCAATCTTCATTTGAAACTCTCCTTGTTTGACGTTATCATTACTATTATTATTGCTATCTGTAAATTGTTAATGAAATGACTCACTCGATCAATTACTAATTATGTGCTAGTGTTCTTATAACAAATGCCATTATTCATATAACCTATCTATCACCATATGAACAATCAAATGTATGATTGCGAATTATTATTCATATTTATTATTATTACTATTATTATTATTATCATTGTCATTATTGTTACCAATATTCAGTCGCTATTTGATGCGCTTTAAACTAATGCCATTTAATCTGGCTTTATGTACGGGGAGGTTTTAAATTTTTGAATTTAAAATTTAAATTTCAAATGAAATCACTGCGCACTAATTGCAAATCCATTCTGAATTAATAATAATAATTATAATAATAATAATATAATTATTGTATAATAATTATACTGTTATTAATTGTTATTATAAATTAAATTATTATTGTTATTATTATTATAATATTATTGCCATATTATCGACATTAATATTGTTCAAAAGATGAAAGGGTGTCTCGATTAGTAATCGACGAATTGATCACATGAATGTGCTGAAACAGGAATGATATCAGAGAGAAGTGAATAAATGGTTGAACTTGTGATTGAATCACGTTCATTGTTCTTTCAGTTGTGATTGTTTGTTAAGTTATTGATGGATAGTTGATTGCTTAACGCTGCTTGGTGTATTATCTGAAGTGTACTGTAGTACCATTCAAGCAGTTCTAATTATAGGTATGAACGTATGAATGCCGTACGGTTGAATCTTTAATATAGGTGTGTGTATTAGCCAATTAATTCAAATTAAACAATATACTTCTCATCTAAAAATAGTCACTCCCATCCATCCGCGCATCATTTATGCACCGCTGTTTTTCAAGGTAACCGTAAGTGTCTGTTAACTCGCAAATGTCCTTCATTCACCTGCCAACTCATAATTTATTTTAAGTTGATAACCTCCTTAAAGCAGCCGTTCTCAAAACTTCGCGTTCGATTCCTCCATGTCTCCCCTCGTTTGCTTCCAATTTCCCTTTTTGCATCCGATTAAATATATTCAAATCTCTGCTTCGTTTTTTTCCATCAGTAAGTGCCTTTGATATTGATGAGACTCGTATTGTAGTACCATTCCGGCAGTTTTAATTATAAGTATGGGCATATCCATGTTTCGGGTATGAGGGTACCCGGTACAGGTACCTGGTACCTAATAGAGGTATGGTATACTTTATGAATGTACGAGGTAAGTCAAAAATAGGTATGATAGCCGTTGTGAGGGTTTAGTTGTCATGGTATGTTTGATGTCTACGAAATCAGCAGCCAATTGCACCGTTAGATTACGAAGCGTTATTGATGTCACTGATTGCTTTGATCGAGATGAGATGTAATTACCGTGAGTTGCAGATGCGATTAGTTGGTCATGCATCGTTTACATTTGTGATATTTGTTCGGGTCGTGCTCGATATCGTTAACGCTTTTTCGCCTAAAACAGATCACTCATTGCAATTCGATTACTTCATATTCACGCAAATTTACCCAACAGCTGTTTGTTTAGTGGATAACGATTGGAAGACTGATTCTTGCTTGGTACCTCAACAAAGTACACTTTGGACGATTCATGGACTTTGGTGAGGCATTAATTAACTCGATTCGCGGGGAACTAGAGGAGTTGACTTTAAGAATGATGGGATGTGGTTGTTTTTGATGTTTTGTGATTTTGCGTTGGTTGACTTTGGCGATCACAGAATTGTTTTGAGTTGCCCCCCCTTATTGCCCAACAATAAATAATTTGTATAATTAAACATAGCCTAGGGCTACTTCATTAAGTAATCGCAACAATGGTGAACGTTCTGCCGGCAAGGCAATCGGTCCATTTCTGAATAACCGCTCCGAATCCGATAGTGATGGAAGTCATATATGTTTTGTGATACTTTGAAGTGATTTTGTTTGTTTCTTGAAAAGGCCATCAAGACGAGACGACTCACCGCTACAGTTCTGTCATTCACAAGATAGGAAGTTTAAACCGGGTAAAATTGCTCAAATAGAAAAGCAGTTGGAATTGGAATGGTCGAATCTATTTCCTCAAAAGTCTGTATCGTCATTCTGGTGTGTGTTTGTTTACTGTTGAATTATTTTTTATTGTTATAATTAATTATGTACAAATATAGTGGTGATGAATTCAGGAAACATGAATGGGAAAAGCATGGAACGTGTGCATGGAATGTGCAAGCAACTCAAGGAGAGCTGAATTACTTTTCGGAGAGTTTGCATTTGCATGAGCAATATGCTGTTGATGAGTGCGTTTTATTGATTTCTTTCATAAGAAACATTATGAATATTAATTGGAAATTTGCTTTTAGAGCATTACGTCGCGGTAATATTATGCCGAACTCGGAGTCGTCTTATCGTTTAGGTGATATTTATAAAGCCATTACAACATATCTGACAAATGGCCGCAGCATTAAAATGCACTGTCTGAAGGACAAAACGGTACTTTTTGGTGGTTGTTTGCGGAATTTGTTAAATTTTTTGGCATTTTTACTATAATTTGGGGAGGTTTTTAAAAATGTATTTCAGAGTGGTGAATATTTTCTGGCAGATATACGAATATGTTTGGATAAGGATTTTCAACCAATTGACTGTGGAAAAGGTGCTGGTGGAAAATCGGGAAAATGGCGCCAAACACACAGATTCGACTCTGCGGGGCGAAGTATCTCCCGTGAGAGACGGGGTAGCCCAGCTTTGCCGACCTATGAAGCGTGTCCCCTTGAAGGTATCAAATATACCTCCCCATCTCATACCAAAGGTTCAACCAGTGATAAAAGCGACCGCAGTTATCATAAGGGTGATAAGCCCACTTATCGAAAATTACCCAAACCGATTACTCTTAGTAATGGCGGTGCAAGTTCTGTTGGAAATTTGTTCTTGTTCGGGATGATACCCAAGTATTGGCCTACTGTCAGCTCAGTCAGGCATTTCTTCGCTTCATTCGGTTGGTAGATGAAACTTGTGGAAGAATAGTGCGAAGTTTAGAATGAGTAAGTGGGATCTTGGTTGAAAGTGCCCCAATGGAGATGTGCTTCGGGAAAATTTGACCATATTGACATAAAATGTTTGAAAATTCAATTTACATGTGTAATGTTTTTCACTGCTTTATTACAACGTTATATTCGTTCCAAGAGTCTTATCATTGGTGATACGCTTTATAAACGTTGCGCGAATCGGAACGATGCATTGCACCATGGTTCACATATTTGTAGTTTTTGTATTTGTATTTGTTTCACATTTTGTGTAGTTCAGTTGTTTATTTTTGTGCATTGTATTATCGGATTGATATCAATGATTATTGGTCATTGGTATGTATAGTTAAGGTTATTATTATTAGAAATTTCCTAATATCATCGCTTTTATTTTAGTTCTATATAGTATTCGTTCGGTCTTTCGTCTTTAAGAAGAAGAATTCACTTATTATGTTCAGTGTCTTTTTAAAGTTGGGAATAGTGTATTGTTTAAAGTTGTACTATGCTACTGAATCAGTATTTCAGGACTTCTGTCATGCATTCCACCACAATTTGTGCTTGCCCAGCCTTTAATTTTGTGTTTTGGTCTATTTTTGTAATTTTATTTGGCACTTCGATCATCGCGGCTGCGTAGAATTATTACTTGGACATCGAGTGGTTGTTTCGTCGATCGCGGTGAGCGATCGTCGGAATATTTATTTTATTAGAGTAATGATTATTTATTGAATTGGTATTTGACTGCGTTTAATTATGCAAAGTATTCACGGCGACTAATTATTTACTCGGTTGTGTTCGGTTGGCCTGCTCGCCTAGCCAGCGAGGTGGCTTAAATTGAGGCTAAAACAATGCGCACAGAAACGCGAGCATTGTGGCCAGCAACGTTATAAACGTTTGATAGCCTGGCCGATCCAGGTAATCCAGGTAATTTGGCACTTGTTTACTTTGGGGGACCCGCACGCAAGCGCTCTCGCGTATGGCAAGTAAGGCCACGCCTACTGCTCATGGCCCCAGCCTATGTGTAACCTCAGCCTCATATAATTGTAGCCTCAGATCGCCTGATGTTACAGCAGGGGCCAGCCGGCGAGCTCAGGCTTAGGCTTAGGCTGAGATTACGCTTAGGCTGGCGTGGCCTCGGTTTATGTGAAAGCGTCGCTCACAGTGAGTGAGTGTATATGTGTATCGTTGTACGCGAGCGTGCTTGCGTGCGGGTTCCCCAAAGTAAACAAGTGCCCCCAAATATTATAACACAACCTCGAATGCACCAAGAATACTTACCTTGCCCTGACAAAACGTAAATAACATGACTCTCGTACAAAAATAGTTCACCAATTTCACATGAAATTGTCATTCCTCGATACAACTTACCGAATTTGAATAAATAAATCGAAAAATCAACGAATGAAACGTCAAATACAAATTTCCTTTCAAATGAAAAACAGCCGAAGACAATTATGATAACAATCGTAAACTATCAACTGATCAATTAAAGAATTAACTCTAAATTATATAGCGCAATTAGTCACATTTTACAATTCATATTGATTCCAACAAACTGAAGGCACTTTTTTACTTTGGGGGGTCGCACGCGAGTACGCTCGCGTATGACAACCGATGCCACGCCTACTGCACATGGCCTCAGCCTATGTGTGAAATCAGCCTCATCTAATAAGTGTGTCCAAAATCGCTCGATGTCACAACGGGGCCTAGTAAGCGAGCTCAGGCTTAGGCTTAGGCTGAGACTACGCTT